TGCCACAGCCCTTAATGCTGTTGGGTAGCCTTGTGTTCCTCTCCAGCGGCACCCACATCGGGTCGCTCATGACTTCTCTGGACCTAGCCCACTCCTGCTCTCATGGGAACAGTGTTTTCTTCTCCTTCCCTCTTGCTCCTCCATCTTGTCCAGCCTCCTGCTTCAGCTTAGCAGCCGTATCTGTAGATAGCCTCTGACCAGGTCCCCAGCTAGGGAAGGAGTATTTAAAATCTGAGCCTGTGGCAAACATTTCGTATCCACACCGTAACATTAAAGCATTTAAGAGACTTGTTTCATTTTAAACTGTGTGTGTGCCTGTGCACCTGTGTGTGGGTATGTATGCACGTAAGTGCAGGGCCGGTGGAGACTGTAAGAGGGTGTCGGGTCCCCTGAAACGAGTCACAGGCAGTTGTGAGTCACCTGACTTGGGAATTAGGACATGAACTCAAATCTTCTGCAAGAACACTACACACTCTTGACCACAGATCCATATCTTTAGTCCCTAATTAAAAAAATATATTAGGGCTGAAGAGATGGCTTTAGTGGCTAAGAGCATTTGTTACTCTTGTAGAGGCTCCCAGCACCCACATGGCAGCTCACAACTGTTCCTAACTCCAATTCCAGGCGATCTGACACCCTCTTCAGGCCTCCATGAGCACAGGCATGCACATGGTACACATATAAAAAGCAGGGAGAACACACAAAATCTAAAAGATGAATGGGGAGGCAGGACATGACATGCACATGGAGATCACATGACAACTTCTGGGTGTCCATCCTCTCTTTCTACCATGGGTTCTGTTGTGTCTACGTCACAAGGATCCCCAAAGAGACCAGGGAGACAGACCATCGATGCAAATGTACAAGGTTTATTGATTGTTCTATCCTTCCATAGGAGGGACCCTGTCTAGCAAGCTGACACGGAGGGAGTGACGTTCTCTACTGCTAGGTTTTAAAGACAAAAGTTACAGGAAGGTACGGGTTAGAAACTTGTACATTTTTGTCCAGAGAGCCAGGTATAGATTGGACAGAGGTGCCTTTGGCCTGATGAAAAGCCCTTTAAGTTTATATTTAGATGACAACCAAAATAAATCTAAAACCTTAAGCTTGTGACTGACCAGTCTGTAGTCAGTGCTCTACCAACTTATCAGAACTTTATTAAATGAGCTATTAAGCTGATTATTGTCTGACCATTAATACTATCAGAGATCTGAGAAGGATAAATTTTATACAGTTTCTAAATCTATTAAAAATGATGCCGGGTGGTGGTGGCGCACGCCTTTAATCCCAGCACTCGGGAGGCAGAGGCAGGTGGATCTCTGTGAGTTCGAGGCCAGCCTGGTCTACAGAGCGAGTTCCAGGACAGCCTCCAAAACAATACAGAGAAACCCTGTCTCGAAAAAAACCAAAAAATAAAAAAATAAAAAATAAAATAAAATGACAGGGCCAAGTCCATGTACAGTTAGCCATACCCAAGTTTCAATTAGCAGGGAGAAGCATCAAAAAACAGCATCAATCTTTGCTAGACCTACAAGGTGAGGGTTTTTCTCTCTGCGGAAGAGGGACATGGAAAAGACTGACCTCATTTTGTCTAGGCAAAGGGGGTACAATCAATTCTCCAGTGTCCTGTTGCTTGTCCACGTCTGAGCCAGATCTTGGCAGCAGGTGTGTATGGGGCATCCTGCCCCCGGTCAGCGTTGTGTAGACATGGAGGTGTCTTGTAATCTTCTTTGGAGACTTTGGGTCACTGTCAGGATCTGGAATTCTCTGTCAAACAGACAGGACCTTTAAAGAGACAGAGTAACTTAAAACTGCCAGTGACAAGAATGTAGATCTGCTGCAGATGGAACAGGCAGGGTTTTTGCATGAAATGTGCACCCTACCGGGTCCTGGAAAGGCACGGCATTCTGCAGACAAGCCGTGTGGAACAGAGCCAGGGAAAGAAGAAAACTGTCAGTGGCCAAAATAAAAGGCAGAAAAGTGAATGAATTATGTCTGGCAGTAGCGTTTGTTGGCAGAAGCTGACTAGATTGTCCTGTCTAGGCTGAGGGAAGGGGTAACATAGAGTATAAACATAAAATATTTTTCATGTCTTTAAAACCATTATCACCTGGGTGACTGTTAAATTACAAAGTTTACATAACTTTTCTAGAACAGAAATCCCTGATTAACCGAGTAGATTTTATTGCTCCTTAAAAGAGGGGAAGGCACAAGCAGAAATAGGAGTCTCTTGCTCTACCGACCAGGTGCATTCCAAGTCCCGTACCTCTTTGTCAGTGATTGGCCGTGCATGAAGGGCTGGTGAAATGTACTGATTTTTTCCTGGTACACGTCATGTGAAAAAGCGTAAGCAACCGCACATCTGGTGGAGGACCTACCTAAAACTCAACAGTGGCAGGAGCAAATGATCCAAGTAGAAAATGGGCAAAAGATGAACAGACATTCTAGTAGATGGCAGATGACTAACACACAAAAGGATGGTTAATATCTTATTAGCCCATTAAAACCTGTACCTCAGCCATTCTGCTTGAGTTGGCTGCTAGCCGCCCAAGGGGAGGCACAGTATGGAAAACTGCATCCAGGCACCAGGACCCAGCAGGGGAGTACTGGCTCGCAGCCAGCAGCTGGGGCAATCATCTCTCCTGGGAGTCACTGTGCGCAGCCACCATAAATGACTACAACATACATACATACATACATACATACATACATACATGCATGCATGCATACATTCTGTGAAAGTAAAGATATAATGTATCTTATAGACTAGAAGGAAGGAAGTAGCATTGGTAAGCATAGAGTGTTGTTGGCTGCCAGTGTTACTGAAGGAAAAAAATTTTTCCCAACATTTTTAGTCACAATCCCAGATTCTGTTTCATGTCCTTTCAATGGGTCAGGCAGAGATCTAGAGAGGAGGAGTGTGTCTGTCCCATGCTAGGTTGCGTCCCAGTCAAATCTGTATTGTCCGTACCGTCAAGACAAGACAAACAGACAAACACAGTACTTAGGCAAAAGAAAGGGGCCATCTCAAAGACTTGTAAGTTTCAGATTCATGGTTGGGAGGCAAACTCCCCAGTAGCTACTCAGATTCAGATGGTGGGTTAATTAGCTGGATTTTTTACCCAAATTTAGATCAGATGATGGGCTCCCTGCCTAGACAAGAAACCAAGAAGCTGAGACGTCTCTCAGCTCCTCCAGATTGTGGCATGTCTGCCAAGGTCTTCTTGATCTGTTTCTTACAGTTTCAGATTGTCTGCCAATGAACCAAAAACAGAAACATAAAAATCACAAAAACGTAAAATCACAAACCTGCCACAGAACTCAGGACACAGGACTTGCCAGGCCAGCACAACAAATAACACAGAACTCACTGGACTAGATAGAGCCGAAGCAGGCACAGGACTGTGACAGGTACAGAAACCTGCCCGACTGGTCACCCAACTGGCTGGAGACAAAGCATAAGCCAAAGCTCCTGCAGCCAGAAACAGGAAGCAGAGCTACTTGCCTGGATAGAACAGAAACCCGACAAACACACAGAACATTTACTTGTCTGGCTGAAGACTTAAACCTTCAGGGATCTGGGGTCCTGGAGGGGGTGTCCTGGGGATCCCAGATGAGCCCCCAAATGTTGTGCTCAAGTTGCAAAGATCCTCAGAGACCACCAGGGAGACAGACCCACTGAACTGTAAAAGCAAGGTTTTATTTTTCATCCAACCATGGCAGGGACCCCATCTAGCCAGCAGATGCAGCAGCCTCCAGAAGGAGTAAAGTTCCCTGTCTACTGCTAGGTTTTAAAGACAAAAGTTATAAGATTATATTAGTAGGTACAGGTTGATTTCTGATTGGTTGACAACATTTTGGGGAACAATCAAGAAATTTTTCAAAGTCATGTTTTTGGCGTGTAATACCTGTGTACCCATTTTTCTCATAGGTTGGTGCTGGGAGGGAACATTCTGTGGTTTCTGTGGCTTGCAGGTGGCCTATTGTACCAATATTTTTCAGAACTAAATTTCCTGGAGACTACAGGGGAGTTTCTTTTGTGTTCCAACAGTCCCCAGGATCCAAGTATCTAGGAGGCTGGGGGTTGGAGTTCCTTTGTGTTCAGTTTTGACCCTAGGCTTGTTGCATACAACATAGTCTCCAGGAGCGAAGGCTCGGGGAAGGGTTGATCTGGAGTTTCGGCTCTTCAGGTTCCAGGCACCAAACTTGGGTCATCAGGCTTGCACAACAGTGATTTCACTTGCGAAACAACCCTGCCCACCCCATAGTAGTCTTTAATAGTGCACTTCCTTATAGTTTAGTCTGGCTATATCTGCATTCTCTCTGGACTGAAACCTCTATAAGATTGCCTTGCTTATCTTGGTTATTTCTAATGCTTGGTTTAATAGGTGCTCATTAATTGTTTGTTAGGAAAAAAAAAAAGCTGCTGACGTAGCACAGGGGCAGGGCATTTGTCTAACGTTCGGGGACCCTAAGCGCAATTTCCAGTACATGCAAGTGTGTGCACGTGCATACACACACACACACATACACACACACACACACACACAGAGAGAGAGAGAGAGAGAGAGAGCTCAAATGAACTAGTAACTATTTATAGTCTACTTGGTATTATATAGTTCCATATGTGATAGTATACATTTACATATATATGCATATTCATATATTACAATTTACACATGCTCGGCAAAAGCACTTTGTCAATTGAGCTACATCCCAGTCCCTTGCTTCCTTTTTTTTTTTTTTTCTCAAGACAGGATTTCTCTTTGTAACCTTCTGGCTGTCCTGGAACTCACTTTGTAGACCAGGCTGGCTTCGAACTCACAGAGATCCGCCTGCCTCTGCTTCCCAAGTGCTGGGATTAAAGGCGTGCACTACCACTGTTGCCCTACTCCATCGCTTCCAATTTTTGAAAAGTTTAATTCACCATCTCATTTTCTGGTCACGTGTCTTAAGTAGAAAGATAGGTGTTGAACTTGTGCACTGTTGATGCTTCCCAGTAGGATGGCTGAGCTGCGTTTCTGTGAGCCAACAGAGCTCTACAACATCTTGAACCAGACCTCAAAGGTGTCCAGACTGGCTGAGCCCAACTACCTCTGCTTACTGGGTAAGTAGAAATCAACAACACACCAACCCAAAGACACACACCAGCACCGACACAGAGACACACAGACACACGAGTATCAGCATGCAGTTAACCAGCGGATGTGTTGAGAACAGCGGCCGACAAATCTTCCTTTTGAAGGTTAGCGGAGTTTTGGGAGCAGGAAATGAATGACGTTAGAAAGTTATTTTGTTGTTTGATTCAAAATGCTGCCTGTGATTAGGCAGTGGATAAAATACTTGCCATGTAATCCTGAGCACCAGGATCCTGGTCTCCAGCATCATATAAAAGTCGGGATTTGGCAACTTGCCCGTAATCCCAGAACTCAGGAGGGGAAGATGGGATACGCTGGGCCAGCTGACTAAGTAGACTGGATGGAAATGTGGACTGTGAATTCAGTGTGACACCCAGCCTGAGGAATTAAGGTGGAGAGCAACTGAGGAAGACACAGGTGTGTGCACACACATGCACATGTGCCCTCACACACTCTTGTGTACATGCTTACACATGTACAGTACACACATACAAACAAAGGGAAACAAGCTGCTGTTGAATGCTACACTAACCCTTGAAAGATAATTCAAGGTGGGATCAAGGGAAGTTCCACACAGCATGGTGGCGCAGCACCAAGGCAGCACAATCAAGACTTCAGGCTCCCTGAGTTGCATGGTGAGACTCTGTCTCAAAGAAATACAGAGGTCACCTGGGTGGTAGTGGTGGCATAAGCCTTTTTGGGGGTGGTTCAAGACAGGGTTGCCTCTATGGCTTTGGAGCCTGTCCTGGCACTTACTCTGTAGACCAGGCTGGCCTCAAACTCATGGAGATCCACCTGCCTCTGTCTCCCGAGTAATGCAGTTAAAGGCGTGCATCACCACCGCTTGACAACATGCCTGGCACGCCTTTAAACCCAGCACTTGAGAGGCAGAGCCAGGCAGATCTCTGTGACTGAGAGACCAGCCTGGTCTACAGAGCGAGTTCCAGGACAGCCAGAGTTACACAGAGAAACAACTCTGTCTCACAAAACAAAACACCAAAGTGGGGGAAGGAGAAAGAAAGGAAAGGAAAAACGAGAGGAAGGGGTAGAGGCGGTGGAGTTTAACTTTTAAGACAGAGTCTAGGGGCTGGAGAGATTATTCTGTAGGTAAAGGTGTTTGCTGCCAAGGCTGATGGCACTGTCCCGTCCCTGGACCCCACATGGTGGAAACAGAGGCAGAAATTATTTATTTGAAGACAAGAGTCTTACTATGAAGTCCTGGCTGGCTTCAAACTCACAATCCTCCTGCCTCCATTGTGCCCCCTCCCCCCTGCACACACACTAAATGTTGAGATCACACCTGTGTCTTTAGTGGACAATTATTCACCTACCCACCAGTGTTCTTGTGTTCCTTTACAATTCCTGTTCAACTCTTTTCTTTCCCAGATGTTCGATGCAAAAGGCAATATGATGAGAGCCACGTGATCACTGCCCGAAGGGTGAAGAAGGTATGGGGCTGAGGCAGAGGCCAGCAGCCTGGGGACTTTGCAGGAGGGCAGGGGGGAGAGGAAGTTCTGTCCTGGGTCCAGAGAGGGGCATCAGCTGTGAGGACAGGTTGGCAGGGATGGTGCACGTCCCATGGACCCCTCCCACACCCCCAGGTCTTCCTGGCAGACACTTGCTGCTCCTGCCTTTAGTAAGTGGGCAGCATGTTTTGCAGTCGTGCTGGCTGTAATCTGGGAACAGGGGCCCATAGAGCCTGTGTACACACTAAAGTCCCCAAGGCTTAGCGAGCTTGGTGAATGGGTCTGCTTTGTCTAGTTGCTGGCATCTGGTAGGCCAGTCAGTACATATGTACCAGTGGCTAGAGAGAGGCCTTCCCTCTGCCCAGAAGACTTCCCAATCTTTGTTTACCGTTTTTTGTTTATGTCTGTGTTATGTGATTGTGCAAGTATATTATGTAATCGTGTATGTGTATTATGTGATCATATGATTGTATGTCTATGTGTGCCTGTGTATATATGTGTTTGATGTATGTGTGTGTATGTGTAGTGTGTGTCTGTACCTGTGCCTGTGTGCCTGTGTATTATGTAATTGGATGAGTGTGTTATATGTATATTATATGATCATGTGTGTATTATGTGATCATGTGATCATGCATGTTTATGTGTGGTGTGTGGTGTATGTGTATTATATGTGTGTGATGTGTGTGTATTATGGTTGTACAGATCTATTATATAATTGTGTGTTTATTGTGTGATCGTGTGTATATTATTATTATTTTTGTTTTTGTTTTTTCAAGACAGGGTTTCAGTGTGTAGCCCTAGCTGTCCTGGAACTCACTCTGTAGACCAGGCTGGCCTTGAACTCATAGAGATCTGCCTGCCTCTGCCTCCTGAGTGCAGGGATTAAAGGTGTGCGCCACCACAGCCTGTCGTGCGTATATTATGTGATCATGTGATAGTGTGTGTTTCTGTAAGCCAAAGGATGGTAGCCATCTTCTTCTATTACTTTCCACTTATTTTCTTAAAAATGTTACTACATTGTTAGTTTTTAAAAAGTGTGTGTGTGTGTGTCCCACCCTGTCTCTCTCTGGGGGGTGGGTATGTATATGGGCATGGCCAGTCCATGTCACATGTGTGGAGATCAGAAGATAACCTCTACATGTGGGTTCCAGTAATTGAACTCAAGTCCTCAGCTTGTTGGCAAGCACCTTTACCTGCTGAGTCATCTCTCTGGTCCTTATTCTTATTTGTTATTAGCCAGAGTCTTGGTATGTGGCCGAGGCTGCCCTAGATCTCAAGATCCTCCTACATCAGCTTCTTCATGCTGGGATGTCATGTGTGGACTCCACCATGCAACAGGCATCTTCCCGAACGTTCTCTTGAGCTTCTAGACCAATGAGATTTCTCCCCTTTGAGTTCCAGAGATCCTTGTTGGTCTGGACTTCTGTGGCCCTTAACTTCCTGCCTTGACAGGGTGTGTTTTAGCTCACAGAGGTAAGGGGGGTGTTTTAGCTCACAGAGGTAAGGGGGGTGTGTTTTAGCTTACAGAGGTAAGGGGGGTGTGTTTTAGCTCACAGAGGTAAGGGGGTGTGTTTTAGCTCACAGAGGTAAGGGGGTGTGTTTTAGCTCACAGAGGTAAGGGGGTGTGTTTTAGCTCACAGAGGTAAGGGGGTGTGTTTTAGCTTACAGAGGTAAGGGGGGTGTGTTTTAGCTCACAGAGGTAAGGGGGTGTGTTTTAGCTCACAGAGGTAAGGGGGTGTGTTTTAGCTCACAGAGGTAAGGGGGTGTGTTTTAGCTCACAGAGGTAAGGGGGTGTGTTTTAGCTCACAGAGGTAAGGGGGTGTGTTTTAGCTCACAGAGGTAAGGGGGTGTGTTTTAGCTCACAGAGGTAAGGGGGTGTGTTTTAGCTCACAGAGGTAAGGGGGTGTGTTTTAGCTCACAGAGGTAAGGGGGTGTGTTTTAGCTCACAGAGGTAAGGGGGTGTGTTTTAGCTCACAGAGGTAAGGGGGTGTTTTAGCTCACAGAGGTAAGGGGGTGTTTTAGCTCACAGAGGTAAGGGGTGTGTTTTAGCTCACAGAGGTAAGGGGGGTGTTTTAGCTCACAGAAGTAAGGGGGTGTGTTTTAGCTCACAGAGGTAAGGGGGGTGTTTTAGCTCACAGTTTGAGGGATGTGATGCCGTCTAGTGTGGAAGGCATGATGGCAGGCATGTAGGCCAGCAGGTCACATTTTATCCATAACCAGCAGGCAGTGAATGGACCAGAAATGAGACTGAATTATAAAACCTCAGCCCTATGGTGGTGGTGCACACCTTTAATCCCTGCACTCAGGAGGCAGAGGCAGGCGGATCTCTGTGTGTTCAAGGCCAGCCTGGTCTACAGAGACAGTCAAGGCTACACAGAAAAGCCCTGTCTCAGACCACCCCCTATGTGAAATTAAGAGAGAAAGCGAGCGCTGAGCACCAGCATCCATCTCTCTGTCTGCGTCTTGTGGCCCTGTGACCAGCTGCCTCACACCTCGCCCCCACAACTGACTGGACCCTCCTCCTGTTGCTGCTCTTGTGACGGATTCTGTCACAGCAGTGGGGACGCCAGTAAAACAATTAGAGACTGAACAGAAGACCCAAGTCCCTGACATCCATCAGCTGCATTTGATCTCATGCTTCTCCTGGTGACACTTGCTCACTTGGAACTTCTGCTCTGGGACCCAGGCCTCCTTATCATCTTCATGGGTGGCTTCGGGTTTGGGTCTACTGCCACCATCTCTTGTCCATTTGGTCACAGTGACTCTGAAGGCCTGTGAGTTTAGTATGGGCCATCTCCAGTCTATTCCCCCTCTGCTGACTTCAGTGGTGGGTAGGGGAGACCCCTCTGGAATTCAAGAGACTCTTCCATTAGGGTGTTTCTGGCTTGTGAGTCAGCAAGGGAAGAAGGACAGGAACCCCCAATCCCTGCCTCAAGCTCCTCCTCAAGGTGTTATTCATTAAGAGTGTGCCCAGATGAGCACCCCAGCAACACGTCTGTGTGGTTTCCTCAGAAGGAGAAACAATACCTCATCCCAGAGTCTGTGGATCTGGAGTGTGTGCGATACTGCATCGTGTATGACAGCAACACCAGTTCCCTGGAACTTCGAGTACGGAGGGATGATGATGAGGAGGAGGAGGAGGAAGAAAGAGGGGTCAAAGATGATGAAGAGAACAACGGTAATGACACCCCAAGAAAGTTCTTATCGTTTCGTTTTTTTTTTTTTTATGTTACTTGGTCTACAAGTTCCAGGCTGTCCTGGAACTTGTAGACCAGGCTGACCTCAAACCCACAGGATCTGCCTGCCTCTTCCTTCTTAGCGCTGGTCTTATAGACATGTGTAGTCATGCCTGGATCATGCAGTGCTGGGAATGCTAACCTCAAGCTTGCTAGGCAGGCATTTTACCAAGGGAGCCAATCCCCAGCCTTCCCGGTGTGTGTGTGTGTGTGTGTGTGTGTGTGTGTGTGTGTGTGTGTGTTTTACAACCACAAGAACAATAGTAGACAGTGACTATATTCCTTATTTTTATGTGGCTCTGACCACATTTCCTGAGGGAAACAATGGAGGAAGGAATGATTTCTGTGTTACTTCTTTGTGTGCATGACTGTGTGTGTGTGCACAAGCCTGTAGAGACCAGGGGTCAGCCTCAAGGATCAATCTGTCAAGTGCCATCCACCTTGTTTTTCGAAACTGTCTCTGCCAGCCTGTGGATTGCCAAGAAGGTTAGGCTGCTGGTCAGTGAGTCCCAGGGATCCGCCTGTCCCTGCCCTCCTGGTGCTGGGATTGCAAAAGCACCGCTGTGCCTGGCTTTTTACACAGGCTCTGGGGGGTTGAACTCAGGCCCTCAATTTGCAAGGCTACCACTTTACCAACTAAGCCATCTACTGCACACACACATGTGCACCTCCACACATGCGCAGACATGCACACACACGTGCACATCACATACATACACAGGAAAGGCTGTGGAGGCAGGAGGAACAGCAGCTCAACCCTGTTACCAGCCTCGTAGCAAGTTCAAGGTCAGGCTGGGGTCCACGTGTAAGGCCCAAGTCCAATCCTCACTACTATGCAAAAAGGAGCCAGGAGGTTGGCTCAGCAGACCCCACATCGTGGAAGGAGAGAATTCCTCCTACAGGTTGTCCTCTGACCTCCTCCTGTGCTTGTGATACACCCGCACATGCACACACAGAGATGAGTACATGAAGCCATAGAAAAGCACATGCAGTCAGTTCCAAGATACTTAATTACCAATTTGAAGCCCTGTGCTGATGGATTGAGAATGGTCATTGACACTCCCTGCCACTGGGTGGCACCAAGGCTCTGCCTTTAACAACACCTGCCATTGAGCCTTCCCAAGTGGCCTTTGGCTTGGAAATTTCTTCTTCCATGTGTGAGTTCCTTTGGGTTACAGTTTGTAGGTATTTGCTAGTTTTGAATCAGAGTCTCTTGTAGCCCAGGTTAGACTCAACCTCATTATATAGCTGAGGAGGGTCTTGAACTTCTGAACTGAGTGCTGGGATTGCAGGCATATGCCATCATGTCCTGTGCAGTGCTGGGGATGGACCCGAGCCTTGGACATGGCAGCTGGGCAAGCTCTCTACCAACTGAGCTATGCCCCAAATCCTTTTGTTTGCACATTTTGGACTGGAGAGATGGCTCTGCAGTTTAATAGCAGGCAGTGCTCTTGCCGAGGCCCTTCCCAGAGTTTACATAGGTGACTCACAACTACCTGTAACTACAGCTTCAGGGCGTCTGACCCCTCTGTGTAAGAGGGCACATGATTCATGGGTACATCCCTATCCCAGACACACATAGTGAAAACTCTCTGAAAATCATGTTTTATATATGTAGTGTGTGTGTGTGTGTGTGTGTTCTGGAATTGCTGGCGTGTACTAACATGCCCAGCTTCTATTCTTGATGAAACAGTAAGCCTGATAGCTCCTGAAGCTGCTTGGTGAGGTAGTCGGGACTTACGGGAGTCCCAGTTGTCGCTAATGCTGACCTTGTAGCTGTGGACTACCATTCTCTAGCAGAGGAGAGGTGGGTATCTAGGCTAAAGGTAACAGTCTCAGTGTGGTCTGGGACTTCTATTCCAACTCCCCTGTGGCCTCTGACCCACTAGTCTCTTGCTCAAGACAGACATGGCTAGTGCCCTGTAACCTGCTGCCTAGACTCAGGGACCCCCATGGGGAAGGGGGTGACTTCCTCCTGGACACCTGCAAGTTCTGTCCCGCCGTGGTTTACACACACAGGTTCATCCTCCAGACAGGTCCCTGTTACTTTATGTCCCGAGCAGTCACTTCTGGAAATGTCCTTGCCTTCAAGAACAGAGTTCAGTTTATTTCATCAGATCAATTTTTTTTTTTGGTTTTTTGAGACAGGGTTTCTCTGTAGCTTTGGAGGCTGTCCTGGAACTCACTTTGGAGACCAGGCTGGCCTCGAACTCACAGAGATCTGCCTGCCTCTGCCTCCCGAGTGCTGGGATTAAAGGCGTGCGCCACTAACGCCCGGCCTATTTTTCTTTCCCTAATTGATTTTACTTTGTACCCATGGAGGCTGGAGGATAGCCTTAGGGGTTGATCCTCAGGTGCTATTCTCTCTCTAAAAAGTTTTGTAAATTATGTTTTTTTTGGGTGTGGGTATCAGAAAGCTTCTGTGGGAGTCAGTGGGATTCAGTTCCCCCTTCCACCATACAGGTCCTGGGATGGAACTCTAGTCATTTGAGTTGGTGACAGGTACCTCTACACACTGAACCATCTTCTGGGTCCCACCTTATTTTCTGAGACTCTCATTACCTATAATTCACTGGATCTGCTGGGTCCCAGGCATCTGTCCATCTTCATAGATGAGATCATTGATGAGATTACAAACACACACCACCAAGCCTGGTGTTTTTATGTGGGCTCTGGGATGGAACGCATGTCCTCAGGCTTCCATGACACTACTGACTGAGAAAGTCATCTCCCAGCCCCAGAAAGTCTGTTTGGAGAACAGAGTCCATGGCCTTCTCCTGCTGGTGGGTTTGCCATACCCTGGACCAGGGGGGTCTCTGCTGAGGCAGGATAGTGCGGACGCTCTGTGGCAGCCTCATGAGTCTGCATTAGAGACTTCCATGCTGCTGTGACAGGACAGAACCAGCTTAAGAGAGCAAAGATTGATTCTGGCTCATGGTTCTGGAGGGTGCAGTCTGCACCACGGGCCTGAGCATGATCCCGTGCTGTCAGAGTGGAGTGGAGGAGGCAGTTCCAGTCATGGCTAACCAGAAAGCCGAGAGCAGGGAAGAGCACAGGTACTCTGCCGGTTAACCCAGCCCCCATCTCTTTGTGCCTGGCCCGTGGGGCGGAGTGCGCTGTCATGACGTGCCCGTAAAGCCAGAGGGCAGAGGCAGGAGCTGGTCCTCGCCTCCCCTGAGCCTTCCAGAGGTCAGGTTCTCCTGCTTGCCAGCAAACACCTGGACCCACTGAGCCACCTGACTGTCCCAGTTCCCAGCCCATGGAATTTAGGGTAGATCTTCTGTCCTCGGTGAATTCTCCCTGAGAACATCCTCACATTTGCGTCCATAGATTTGTCTCTGCACTGTCCTAGGTGATTTAAGTCCAGATTAGTAGACAATGATTGTTAACTATTATATAGCATAATTATTCATGAAAGAGTTTAAGGTTTAAATTTATATCAAACCATAAAAAGAGTGTCAGTGAGATGACCCTGGGACCCACGTGGTGGAAAAAGAGAACAGACTCCTGCAACATGACTAATTTCCACATACGACACATCTACAGTCTCTCTCTCTCTCTCTCTCTCTCTCTCTCTCTCTCTCTCTCTCACACACACACACACACACACACACACACACACACACACTGCAGCCAGGCACAATGATCCTCTAATCTCCACACTCAGGAGGGTAATGAGTTGAGTTGAGTCCAGGTCAGACTGAGCTACATCGATCTCATCTCAGAAACAAGACCAAACTGCAGGGAGACAGTACTTCACACGCACTAGGGTGAGTGTAATAAAAAGATGGATAATAACAAGTGTTGATGGGAATATGGAGACACGGGACCTTTGTACACTATTGAACACAGCGGTTCACAACTAACCCAGCATTGGAGAGACCGAGGCTGGAGAATTGCCATAATTTCAAAGGCAAGTCTGGACTGTGTAGTGAGTTCTAGGCATGATTCTGTTGCTGAGTAAGACCCTGACTCTAAAAAATAAAACAAAATCAGAGCCAGGAAAATGGTAGAAAACACCTACAAACAGACCCACAAGCTGACCATCTCCGGATCCCAAAAGGGCGGAGGAGGGAACCAACTCCCAAGTCTTGGCCTCTCGGTTCCCGTGTGTACACCCACCCCCACACACCATTAAAAAGAAAATAAATCTTATAAAAACTAAACACTAACCCAAAGCTGGACATTGGTGACATACACCTTTAGTCCCAGCACTTGAAAGGCAGAGGCAGACGGATCTCTGAGTTCAAGACCAGACTGGTCTACAGACTGAGTTCCAAGCCAGCCTGGGCTACACAGAGAAACCCTGTCTTGAAAAACAAAAAAGCAAAACAACAACAGCAATGAAAAACTAACCTGAACAAGACACAACTATAAGAACAGGAAGTAAAATGGTCCGGTGTAAGGAAAGCGATGGTGACTCTCAGAGGGTTAGGTACACACTCCAAGGACATGAAAACGCGTCACACGAAAGCTTGTTCACAGTAGCCCACAGTGGGAACAGCACAGGTGTCTTAATAAGCCAGTGAATGGTGGAACAGAGGCAGTGCATCCCCAGAATGGAGTATTGTTCAGCTGTAACGAGGTATCATCGCTTACGCCCACATACTGCTCTTAAAGAGGACCTGAGTTCAGTTCCCAGAACTTATGTCAGATGGCTCACAACCATCTGTAACTCCAGATCTTGAGGATCAGATGCCCTATACTGGCCTCCATGGGCACCTACACTCGTGTACGAACTCACAAACACACACATATACATATAATTTAAATTAATAATTTTGGGGGGCTGGAGAGATGGCCCAGTGATTAACAGCACTGGTTGCTCTACCAGAGGATCTGGGTTTGATTCCCAGAACCCAAATGGTTACTCATGGCTGTCTGTAACTCCAGCTCCAGGGGATCCCTTGCTCTCTTCGGGCTTCTGCAGGCACTGTGCATGTGTGGCACACAGACATACATGCAGATGAGATGCCCATCTCATCTTTTTAAGTTCTTTTTAAGTCTTAAGTCTTCAGTTGTAACATTCCTCTCTGTACCTGACTCAGATTTTGCTTCCTAATTTATTTCTTATGTGCCCCTTGGCTTGGGTTTCAGATGGAAGTGCCCATCCATTCTAACACTAGGCAAATGCTAAGCACACCTTGTGCCTCTTTGGCCCCCACCCACAGAGCTCTTACCCGGGCCTGCTGTGGAGTTTGGGCAGATCCTCATCCATCTTACCCGCCAGCCTGTCTATATCCTCAGAGGGGGCTACGAGTGCTTCTCTGGCCTGTACCACTTCTTCCGGACGCAGAAGATCATCTGGATGCCCCAGGTGAGGCAGGGGGTGTACATACACTGTTAGAAGTGAGACTGGAAACTGACAGGTAAGTGGGGTGGAGAGAGGATATAGACATGGAGGACACAGGAAACGGGGTGGAGAAATGAGCCCCGAGCAGCTAGTAAGTTAACACATTGTGCAAACGTGGGACCTAGAGGGGGCGTGGTTTCAGGGGCAGCATGCTAAGTCAGACAGTGCCAGAGTTGACTCTGAAATGTTTCCTATAGGCGTATGCCTTGAACACTTGTTCCCCAGCCAGAGCCCCTCCTTAAGTGGTCACAGAGCCTTTAGGAGGCAGAGCCTGGCTGGTGCAAGTAGGCCCTAGAGATGGGCAGCTTTTCTCACCGCCACCGACAGGACCCCACCGCCATGCCTTCACCACCAGAGTGGGTAGTCTCTCTGGAACTGAGAGCCACAGCAAACCTTTCCTTTTCCAGTATTTTGAATCAAGAATGCTGCTAGATTTCTTTTTTTTCTGGTTACATTGCTTTGTTTTGTGCTGTGTGTGCATGTGTGTATGTATGCACCCACACATAGGAGTGCCATGATGCATATATGGAAATCAGATTCCCTTCTTCAAACATATGGGGCACAGGGGTTGGATTCAAGTTGCTTGGCAGCAAGCAGCAACCGCAACTGGACAACTGAGCCACAGACTGTCCGTTCCAGTCTTTGTGTGTGACCAGGTGCAAACCGGTGCCGTGAGGGAGGGGCGTCAGTATGGAGACCTGTTCAGTACTGTGATGCTGTGGCTCATCCCTTGTTTACAGCCGGGCCTCTGACCTCTCAGTGAGGTACTTGCTGCCACCTCCAGCCCCAGCTGTCTCCTTCACTGTCTCGGGGTTGCTCTTCTGAGCTCCCCTTTAGAGCCACACCTCCCGAGATGGGCCTCCCCCTTCTCTTATGTGCAGCAGCCTTCCTCCTTCCCCATCCAGGAACTGGATGCCTTCCAGCCATATCCAGTTGAGATAATTCCAGGCAAGATCTTCCTGGGCAAATTCAGCCAAGCCTGCAATGCTAGGATTCACAAGGATTTGAAAATTAAGGCGCATGTCAATATTTCCATGGAGGCAACCCCCTAGTAAGTAAAGGTGATTTTAGTGTGTGTGTGTGTGTGTGTGTGTGTGTGTGTGTGTGAGAATGAGTGTGGACACACGTGCAGGTACCTGCGCATATGAAGGCCATACATATGTTGATGTTGGGCGCCTTCCTTTGTCATGCTCCACCTTATTTATTTTTGGAATGTCGAGACAGGGTTTCTCTGTGTAGCCCTGGCTGTCCTGGAACTCACTCTGTAAGCCAGCCTGGCCTTGAACTCACAGAGATCCGCCTGCCTCTACCTCCTAAGTGCTGGGATTAAAGGTGTGAGCTACCACCGCCTGGATCTCCACTTTGGTTTTTGAGACAGAGCCCAGTGTTCGTGGACTGGCTAGTCAGCAAGCTTGGGTGATCTGCCTCAGTTCCCCTAGCCCTAGCTTTCCAGATGTGTGCCCCTATTAGCCCAACTTTTTATGCAGATGCTGGGGATTGTAGCACGGGTCCTTATGCTTGTGCAGGCATTTTACTGACGGCCATCTCCCTGGCTCATGGTTTTTATCTTAGGTTAAGAGTCACTTATTTGCACATGTTTCCTACTGCCATAGTTTGTTGTAGCTATTTTTTTCCTTAAGTACTAAGGATTAAACGCAGGTCTCTTACATACTGGCCAAATGATCTTCTGCTGAGTCAGCCCCATTCCTTCACTGGAGGATTCTAGGCAGGTGTTTGACCACCGAGCCACACCCCAGCCCCTCACTGGGGGATTCTATGCAAGGGCTCTACCACTGAACCATACCCCAGCCTCTCCCTGGGGGATTCTAGGTAGATGCCTTCTGTCAGGCATTCTCTGTGTGTATGTGTGTATGTGTGTGTGTGTGTGACTGTACGTGCAGGCCAAATGACAATCTCCAGTGTCATTCTGCAGGAACTGTCCATGTGTTTTAAAAGACAGGACCTCTCAGGGCTAGAGTTCAACAAGTGGGCTAGCCTGGCTGGTCAGTGAAGCCAGGGATCCCCTTGCTCCCTCTTCTCCAGTGCTGAAATTACAAGTGCAGGCCACCAAGCCTGGCTTTTTCTGTGAGGGCTGGAGATCAGAGTCATGTCCCAATGGCTGCCTAATGAGCCCTGTATCAATTGAGTCATCTCCCCATCCCCCAGATAATATTTCTACTAGTTTCTATCATCCTGATGTCAGCTCCTAATCACTCCCTTGTGGTTTCTGTGCTATGGACAAGAGATGCCACAGTGGGGCTGGCTTGTCACCCAGGTGTTGTGTGACTTTTCCTGGGGTGATGTGAATAAAACATCTCTTCACCCCAGATAGCACGCTGACGACAGACTAAAAGTAAGAATACCACCAGCCAAGTCCAACATGGAGAGCCAGTAAGCTTCCTGTGGTTTCTTAACAGGTGCATGTGTGTGGGGAGATTATTTACAGGAACATGGATGACTCACAGGTAGCTAAGTCAGCATTCATGGTAACTGTGATCCTGGAACTCACTGCATGACTCACAGACCGCTCCTCAGGCCAGAGAGTCTCCTCTCAACTGCAGTTGTTACTGCCCATATGGCCTGGGGAGGGGCCTTGTGAATCCTGTACGTTTCAGGAAGTTTCTGGGGCTTGCAGGTTTCTCAGTTCCTGAGCTTTGGAAATTTTCTTTACTTCCCCGAGTCTTAAGAAACCTCCCTCCTGGAAGGAACAGATGCTCAACACCACCCGCTGCCTTCTTTCAGTTTTGTAGGCGATGGAGACAAGCTCTTGCATGTCAAGATAGAGGATTCTTCAGATTCCAACCTTTTCAGCTCCTTCCGCCACATCTGCCACTTCATGGGTAAGGAGAATTTCCAGACCAGGGAGCACCCTTCTTGTGCTGATGAGTCTCTCCCTGCCAGTGACCCCCAGGACTTGGGGGAGGATGGAATCTAGCACATCCAGCTGCACCAAAGCCTCAGCTCCATGTATGTGAGCAGCTTAGGAGTGGCGTCCAGTGACGGCACCACACAGTATCTGATCACCTTGTTCTTACCTTGGCTACATGGCCACGCCCTTCCGAGCCAGGGCTACAGTGAAGATACTGACTGAACGTGGGTACACCATGTTTTGGATGCCCGCTCGTCTGTGGGGCCTGGGGCCTCAGAAGAGCTTCTGTTTCTATGTCTGTGTTCAGGGCTAGTCAGTAGAGTGGGGTAAGGGCGAGTCTTAGTTAGGGTTACCGTTTCTGTGAAGAGACACCACGACCACAGCAACTCATAAAGAAAACATTAAGTTGGGGTGGCTCGTTACCATTTGGGAGGTTCAGTCCATTATCGTCACGGCAGGGAGCATTGGTGGCCTGCAGGCAGATGCGGTGCTGGAGCTGAGAGTCCTGCATCTTGATAGGCAGGCAACAGGAAGTCACCTGACACACTGGGCAGTGTCCCTCAAAGTCTGCCTCCTCAGTGGTACACTTCCTTCACCAGGCCATCCCACTCCAGCAAAGACTCGCCTTCTAATAGTGCCACTCCCTGAGATTATGGGGGCCATTACATTCAAACACCACAGGGAAGGAAGGTAACTCCAAACCATCCAGCTCTGATTCCCATCATGCTCCATGTGTCTACTTGGCTCTGCTATGGCTTTCCACTTGGCATAGCAATGTTCATCACTGTTTAGCACAACAAGATCGGGTCTTTCTGTCAGCCCCAGGGCTCAGAGTTGACCAGGAAGAGCAAGATTCCTAACAGCTCTGTTGAGTTGGGTCAGGAGTCTTGGCTTCCAGCATGGCACCAATTCAGCCCCCAGCCCAAGCTTGAATGACTGGGAGTGGGATGGCAGCCTTCACCACCCTTATTTGCCCAGAAATTTACCACTTTCACTCTTTAACTTTTTTTTCAACTTGAGGGATACAACCAGAGTGGAACATGTGCTAGGTAAGTGCTGTACCTGTAAGCCCTGCCAGCCCCTCACTGGGGGATTCTAGGCAGGTGCTCTACCACTGAGCCACACCCCAGCCCCTCACTGGGGGATTCTAGGCAGGGGCTCTACCACTGAGCCACACCCCAGCCCCTCACTGGGGGATTCTAGGCAGGTGATCTACCACTGAGCCACACTCCCAGACATTCCCCCACCCCCAGTCTTGTTTTTATCTTTTATTTTGACAGCATTTCCCTAGGTTACCTAGGCTGACCTTAAACTTTCAATCTTTCTTTCTCTTAGCCTCTGAACACCTAGGATTCCAGGCCTTCCCTGCACTGCTAGGCCTGGCAAGGCTGGTCTCCTGCTGGTCACTGAGGTCCTCAGGGAAGAGTACCATATGCAACCCTCTTGCTTCCTTCCTTTGCAGAACTTCACCTCCAGCTCCGCTCTGTCATCCTGGTCTTCTCCAGCCGGGGCATCAGCCGTAGCAGTGCTGCTGTGGTGGCCTTCCTCATGCACTACAACGAGGAGACCTTGAAGGTGTGTGCATGGGGCTGGGGCTCGGTTGATAGAGTGCTCGCCTGGCTCGCAGAAGACTCCAGGACCAAGTCAGGCATGGTGGTTTTTTTTTTTTTTTTTTTTTTTTTCCTCCCTCTCTGTTACTGGCTTTCTTTTTTTTTTTTTTTTAATTTTATTTTCCAGTTTAAATTTAGATAAGAATCAAGGTTGCTTCACAAGTCAGTTCCAGGTCCCTCTCCCATTCCCTCCCTTCCTCCCGTGCCCTCCCCTCCCCCCCCCCAGGCATGGTGGTTTATATCTTTAATCCCAGCACTCGGGAGGCAGAGGCTCTGTGAGTTCAAGAGCAACCTGGTCTACAGAGTGAGTTCTGGAAAAGCGAGGGCTACACAGAGTGACCCTGTCTCAAAAACAAAAACAAAACAACAAAAAGTATTGTTCCCTAGGCCACAGACGCCCTAGGAGGGGCCTGAGCTGGATGTGAGCCTACTTAGCAGCACTACCATAGGGTCTTAGTTTGGATGCCACCCAGCCCACAGCATTCAAGAGTAAGTGGCTGGCAGGGGCCCAACTAGTCCAGGCTCTGTATGGCAGTGCTGGGAACTCAGTTACCGTCTTCTGAAAGAGCAGCATAGGTTGTTCTTAGCTGCTGAGCGATTTCTCCAGCCCCTAGTTTCTTTTTCTGTTGTTGTGACAAAATACTGTACAAAAGCAGCTGAAGGGAGAAAGGGCTCATGCTATCCCACAGTCCCAGGTTATATTCCACAGTGGGTTAGGAGCAGGAGCTTGAAGCAGCTGGGCACATTGTATCACTATCAGGAAGCACCGAGTGGTGCATGCATACTGCAGCTCAGCTCGGTGATGCATGCATACTGCAGCTCAGCTCGGTGGTGCATGCGTACTGCAGCTCTGGCTAGTGATGCATGCATACTGCAGCTCAGCTCGGTGATGCATGCATACTGCAGCTCAGCTCGGTGATGCATGCATACTGCAGCTCTGGCTAGTGATGCATGCATACTGCAGCTCAGCTCGGTGGTGCATGCATACTGCAGTTCAGCTCGGTGGTGCATGCATACTGCAGTTCAGCTCGGTGGTGCATGCATACTGCAGCTCAGCTCACTTTCTCCATTTCCACAGTCCAGGATCCCAACCAATGAATGGCCCTGCCCACCATAAAGATGGGTCTTCCTGCACCCACTGGCACACTCAAGGCGCTCTTCCACAGCGACTCCCTTCTGGGTGATTCCAGACCCTTCCAATCTCACAACTGAAATTAGCTTCCAAGGTTTCCCAGTTAGTTTGGGTTGTTCCAAGAAGAATTTTATGGAGCTACAAAATGGCTGGACTGGCTGGACCTCAGCCTGTTAATCCTCCTTTACCTTGAAAGGAGAGGGACAGAAAAGTAGGATCTTGTGTAACACCACTGGGGACTCATGGCTGACATTAGGCTGTGGTAGGTTAGTGTTAGTGTTCAGTGTTGGTGTTAGTGTTAGTGTTTAGTGTTAGAGTTAGGGTTAGTGTTAGTTTTAGCTAGTCACAGGGTTAGGGCTAAGGTTAGCTAGTCACAGGGTTAGGGCTAAGGTTAGCTAGTCACAGGGTTAGGGCTAAGGTTAGCTAGTCACAGGGTTAGAGTTAGGGTTAGCTAGTCACAGGGTTAGGGCTAGGGTTAGCTAGTCACAGGGTTAGGGCTAAGGTTAGCTAGTCACAGGGTTAGAGTTAGGGTTAGCTAGTCACAGGGTTAGGGTTAGGGTTAGCTAGTCACAGGGTTAAGGCTAAAGTTAGCTAGTCACAGCCTGCTTGCAGGCTCAGAGGCCGTGCACACAATCTAAACAACCTCCAGATATTTTTTTGGTTTTTCAAGACAGGGTTTCTCTGTATTGTTTTGGAGGCTGTCCTGGAACTCACAGAGAGCCGCCTGCCTCTGCCTCCCGAGTGCTGGGATTAAAGGCGTACGCCACCACCACAACCTCCAGATTTTAACTTGGAGTATGTGTGGTTCAGTGGTGGAGCACTTGCCTAGAAACCCCCAGTGGGGGTGTGACTCTGTAGAAGAGAGAGAGGTTGCCTAGAATTCCAGGATGAGGACCTGCAGGAGTAGCTGAGTATGCTTTGCTAGAATCCTCCAGTGAACAGCTGCAGGTTGAGCAATAGTGGCCTTGCCTGGGATCCACAAGGACCTGTGTTTGGTTCCCACCTAGCACTCAGAAAACAGAACAAAACCCAATAGCGTTTGAGCCAGCCAACCTGAGATTGTCCTCCTTTCTGATCACCTCAAAGTGGAGCTGAGATGAGGGTGATGCGAGCCCTCCTCTGGCTTGACTCCTTTCCTAGACAAGCCAGGACCTGTGCTGCCTGGTCTGCCTGTCCCTCCAAGTGGCTGATGCTGGGTCTCCTCAGGCTCAGGTTAGTCTGAACTTAGGAGGAACCCTGGCACTTGTTCCTGGAACAGCCATCTTTGTCCTCTCTGTAGGAAGTCCCAACACGAGGCACTCTTCCCAGAGATGACATCTAGATAACTCTTGGCCAAAGAGAGCTGTTCAGCTCACATTGCAGGGCTCAGGAGTGCCCACCTCTCGTTTGCTTTGGCAGTTGGCTCATTACATAGCTTGACCTGGGCTTGACCCCAGGAGGCTGATACAGAACTGCCATGCTGGGCAGGATCCCCGTCAGAACCCTCTGGTACTTGTGTCCTTTAAAGACCCTTAAGAAAGGGGCTGACAAGGTGACTAAGCAGGGAAAGCCTCTGCCTTGCAATCCCGGCCCCTGGGATTCAATACCTGGTAAGCCAGAAGGAGAGAGCTAGTCCATAACTGACCTCCACAAGTGTGCGGTGGCATGCGTACCCCCTACATAGCATGCACACACATGACAATAATAAGTAAGTTTATTGTTATTAGCTTGAATTTGCTTATTTTTATTTTATGTGCACTGGTGTTTCTTCTTGTGTCAGTGCGCAACATGCATGCAGTGCCCACAGAGGCCAGGAGAGGGAGTCAGACCTCTGAGACCGGAGTTCCACCCACTTGGGAGCCACCGGATGAGTCCCAGGGATTGAGCCTGAATCCTCTGGAGGAGCAGCAATTGCTCTTAACCTTGGAACCATCTCTGTAGTTCCCATTTAGTGGTTTGTTTTTGTTTTAGATATGCTCCACTATGTTGCATGGATTTTGATACATAGTTCCCCGAGGCCTGACACTCATTACTAACCCAGGCCCAGCTGTAACTGGCTGCCGACTTCTAGCTTACCTAGAACTCACAATCCTTCCCACCCTGGCCTCCTGCGTGCTGGGGTTATAGCTGTGTCCCCCTGACCCTGACCTTTCAATTCCTTATAGGTAATGGAATGTTCACAGTGACCCTGTAGCTTAGATACCATTATGCCCCCAACTTTTTTGGGGTGTGGTAAGTCTGGGTGCATTCTTCAAGGCTACATATAGTATAGCAGGGATCCAAAGCCCATTGACTCAGGCAAGCACCCACACTTTTCACAGAGCCCCAAAATGACAGGATAAGGCCTTTCTGCCTATGAGAATCCCAGCAGACATGCTATGAGCTGGGGTGTGCAGTGGGCTTAGGGGACCAGCACCTACCTATGAAGTGGGCTTAGGGGACCAGCACCCTACCTATTAAGCCCTCCTTCTTAATGACTTCTAAGCATGTGCTTTTGTGGTAAGCACATTCAGACTGTAAACCAGCTTGTAAGCTTTCATGTCTTGCAAAACTGAGGTTCTGTGCCTAGTGATTGATAATCTCTGTTCTTTCCTGACCCCAGCCTCCGGCAACCTCTGCTGCACTTCCTGTCTAATTTGTTTATATTCACTCCCGAACACAACTTGTGTACGTGCATATGAGTGTGTGTGTGTGTGTGTGTGTATGAGGGTGTCTGTGCAGCTGCATATGAATGTGTGCATGTGTGTGTATGGATGTGTGTGAGGGTGTGTGTATAGGAGGGTGTATATGTATAGGAGGGTGTGTGTGTGTATAGGAGGGTGTGTGTGTGTATAGGAGGGTGTGTGTGTATAGGAGGGTGTATGTGTGTGTATAGGAGGGTGTATGTGTGTATAGGAGGGTGTGTGTGTATATAGGAGGGTGTGTGTGTGTATAGGAGGGTGTGTGTGTGTATAGGAGGGTGTGTGTGTGTATAGGAGGGTGTGTGTGTATAGGAGGGTGTGTGTGTGTATAGGAGGGTGTGTGTGTATAGGAGGGTGTGTGTGTGTATAGGAGGGTGTGTGTGTATAGAAGGGTGTGTGTGTATAGGAGGGTGTGTGTGTATAGGAGGGTGTGTGTGTATGTGTGTGTATAGGAGGGTGTGTGTGTATAGGAGGGTGTGTGTGTATAGGAGGGTGTGTGTGTATGTGTGTATAGGAGGGTGTGTGTATGTGTGTATAGGAGGGTGTGTGTGTATGTGTGTATAGGAGGGTGTTTGTGTATGTGTGTATAGGAGGGTATATATTTGTATGTGTATGTAGGAAGGTGTGGGGGGGTTGGAAGAAAGTTTTAGGTGTCACTCCTCAGGAGACAAGTTCTTTCATTGGCCTGGTGCTTGCCAAGTAGAGTAGGCTGGCTGACCAGCAAGCCCCCAGGATCCACCTGTCTCCAGCTACCTAGTGCTAGGATTAACATGGCTTCTGCGGATCAAATGCAGGTCCTCAGTGCTTATATGGCAATCACTTTATTGGCTGAGCCATCTCCCCAGGGCTAAAATTCCTTCCTTCCTCCCTCCCTTCCTTCCTCCTTCTCTCCGTCTTTTCCTCCTTCCTTCCTTTCTTCTGTAATGTGTTTGTGTCTGTGCCGGAGGGTGTCTATGTGGATCTTGTCTGCAGGTGCTTGTGGAGGACAAAGGGACTGTTGTTACAGGTGGTTGGAAGTTGCTGTCATTACAAGTGGCCATCTGTGTAGATGCTGGGAACTAACCCTGAGCCCTCAGCAAGATTAGCAAGTGCTATAAATCACAGAGCCATCCCTCCAGGCCCTTCCCTTGATTTCTTAATTGTTTCCTCCTCCTCCTGTTCCATCTCTTCCTCTTCATTTTGGACTGTTCATCATCAATTGGCACATAGAAACAACTGAGTCATGTTTTGAATTTATTATTCTGCAGTTTTCCTGTGTTTACTATCTCGTGTGTGTGTGTGTGTGTGTGTGTGTGTGTGTGTGTGTGTGTGTTGGGGAGGGTGCACATGAGTGCAGTTGCCCTCAGAAGCCAGAAGATGTCATTAGATCCCCAGGAGCTGGAGTTAAAGGAGATTGTGAGTTGCCTGATGTGGGTGCTGGGAACCAAACCTAGGTGCTCTGTGAGAGCAGTACATGTTCTTAACCCCGAGGCATCTCTCCAGCCCCTAAGGTACCATTTTGCCTTTCCACTCTGTCTCTAATCCGGATGAAGACCAGCACATGCGCGCCTCTTTTCGTAGACGCCCTCTGCTCTCCATGTGGATGCAGTGCCCGGAGGAAGGCAGCTTTGCCTTTCCTTCTCCCGAGAACGCTCCACGGCTCTTGTCATCTCTCCAGTGATTCGGCCGGTCCCAGTGCAAACCTTGTTGAGGCTGCTGAGTGTCCCGGGCTCTGGCGTTACCTGGCCCACGGGAGGTTACATGCATGTTGTCTCAGTCTTCACGGGAGCCATGTGAAACAGAATTGACACCCATGCCGAGTCAGAAGTAGAGGAGCTTGCCTGTGGCCTAGGCTGTGCCCAGGGCTCCTTGCCTTGATAGGTTCAGCCCAGGCTTACATTCTTTCTTTCCTCTGTGCCTTTAAGTGTGTGCCCGTGTGCACTTGTGTGTGTGTTCACATGGCTCCTGGGCAGAGGACAGTTCTCTTCTTGTACCATATGGGTCACTAGGGTTGGACGCAGATCATCAGGCTTGGGAGCCCGTCTTCCCCTTGCCTCTCCTCTTCCCTCCCTCTCCTTTCTTCCCTCTCATCCCCCTCTTTCTTTCCCTCCCTCCTCCCTCCCTCCCTGCCTCCCTCCCCCCCTCCTCCCCTTCCCCCCTCCCTCCCTCCTTCCCTCCGTCCCTCCCTCCGTCCCTGCACTCCATGATTAAGCCAGGCTAACTGGCCAGTGAGCCTCAGGAATGCCGTCTCCACTCCCCAGCACTAGGACTGATTACACGTGTGCCACCACAAACTGTTTTCACATGGGACCTGGGGACCGGACTCAGCTCCTCATGATTGCCCTGAGCTGGCTGTGATCTAGTCTGGAAGGACCACACTGCCTGCCCTGAAATCTTCCTTCTCTCTACATTCACAGAGGGCCTGGGCCCACGTGAAGAAATGCAAAGACAACATGCGTCCAAATCGGGGCTTGGTGGCTCAGCTGCTGGAGTGGGAGAAAATTATCCATGGGGAATATATCACAGACATCACTGACCCTATCTACTGACCTGCGTCTGTGGCCCATCTGGGCCTGAGGAACCTTGCTTGGGACTTTTGGGGCGTGGGGGTTAGGTATACACTTGGATTTGTCCAGAAGACCTCTGTGGCCTGAAGTTTCATGTCTACATCTTAAGGCTGGTTCTGTGTGGGAACTGAACCTAGAGCAGTGGCTCTCAACCTTTTTCTTTTGTTGTTGTTGTTTGAGACAGGGTTTCTCTGTATTGCTTTGGAGGCTGTCCTGGAACTCCCTCTGTAGACCAGGCTGGCTTCGAACTCACAGAGATCCGCCTGCCTCTGCCTCCAGAGTGCTGGGATTAAAGGCGTGCGCCACCACCGCCCTGCAGCCCTCAACCTTTCTAATGCTGCGACCCTTTAGTATAGTTCCTCATGCTGTGGTGACCCTAACCATAAAATTATTTTCATTGCTACTTTGTAACTGTCATTTGCTACCATTAGGAATCACAATGTAAACATCTGTTTTCCAGTGGTCTTAGGCGACCCCTGTGAAATGGTCATTCACCCCACAGTTTGAGAACCACTGACCCAGAGCCTCACACATGTTAGGCAAGCCTTCTATCAGTGAGCTCTATCCTCAGCCTTTTATGTTTTGTGACTGGGATGGTCTCAAACTCCATGTAGCTGAAGAGGATTCTAACTCATGCTCTCCCTGCCTCCATCTCCCCACTGCTGAGATTACAGTGTGCACCACTGTTCTAGGTTATGTGTTGCTGAAGGTGGACCAGGGCTTCCTGCATGCTAGCCAGGAACTTTACCAACTAAGCCACACCCTCAGTTCTGCACTGACTTTTTAATCCATTCCACAAATACATGCATAGCACACACCGTTCATGCTTGTTTTATTTTATGTATGTAGATGCTTTGCCTGCATGCGTGTCTGTGCCCCATGTATATGCCTGCCTCCTATAGAAGTCAGAAGAGGGCATTGTACCCCTTAGAACTGGAGTTACAGATGCTTGTGAGCCACCATGTGGCTGCTGGACATTGAATCCAGGTCCTCTAGAAGAGCAGCCAGTGCTCCTAACCACCGAGCCATCCCACACTTTTTTATGTGTGTATATGTGGGCACGCTTTGGCACTTGTGTGGAAGTTGCTGAAACTGGTTCTTTCCACAGTGTGGGTCCTGGGATTGTACTTGGGTCATTTGTCTTGACAGCTGAGGCATCTCACAAGTTCAGGTTACACAAGTCCTAAAGGGAATTGTGTAAAGGTACTTCCCTGGACTCACAGACTACAAGGGGACTGCTGGGTAATGTAGGGTGTCAGCCATTTAAGAAAACATCTCCAGCCAGGCGTGGTGACCCACACCTTTGGTCGCACGCCACTCGGGAGGCAGAGGCAGGAGGATCTCTGAGTTCAAGACCAACCTGGTCTACAGAGCGATTTCCAGGATACCTAGGACTACACACAGAGAAACCCTGTCTCGAAACAAGCAAAAGAAAGAAAATATCCCTAGCTACCACCTGCCTCCTAGAGCTTTCTACAGAGGGCCATGGGGCGCGGGCAGGGTGTACCCTGATGAGGATGACCCGGAACTTCTGATCCTTTTATCTGCATCTCCCAAGTGCGGGAATCACAGGCGTGTGCCTCCACATCCGCTGGGGATTGAACTCAGTGTCCCTGTGTGCTAGACAAGCACTCAACCGACTCAGCTCTAGACCCACGGGTAAGTCTTAAGCAGGGTCACGTGCGGATTTAAGTTTTATATCTTAGAGAGGCAGCCTACATGCTGTATGAAGGACAGGAGAGGTGAGTACGGAGGACTCTGGGCCAGGAAAGCATGTGAGACAAGGGCTGTCCCTAGCTAGAGAGGCGCAGCTTCCAACAAGGACAAAAGTGTATGAAGTGCAGGGCGGGGTGGATGGTGCACGCTTCTAATCTCGGCATGGGGGAGAGAGGTAGGGGGATCTCTCGGTTCCAGACCAGCCAGGACGCCGTAGTGAGACGCTATGTTTAAAAAATAAAAGGTTGGAAGCACGTGTCACCTTGGTGTTTGAGTGGTCTGAGGATGCCGATCACCGAGTCAGGAGACGCCCTGCGGGCACGTGGCCACGCCCATTTCCCGTCCCGGGCTCCGATTGGCTGCTTCTAGGGGCGGGGCGCGCGCGGATTACGCCGGGCCTTTTCCCGTTGGCAGCCGGGGCAGCGCAAGCCCGGAAGCGGACGGGGGCGGTGGCGGAGGCGCCTCCGGCCGGCCGGGGTTGCAGCTCCGTCCTCCCCACTCGTGGCTCCCCGGGTCCTGTGGCGTGGACAGAGACATGCAATCCCCGCCCCCAGACCCGCTGGGCGACTGCCTGCGTAACTGGGAGGACCTGCAGCAGGACTTCCAAGGTATCCAGGTGAGCGTCCCTGCGGCCATCCGTGCCCCGAGCCACGTCTCTCTGTCTCGGGGACATGGGTCGGCAGCCCTAGGTCAGACATAGGGTAGCTGGGAGGGGTCAGGGGTTGAGGCCCTCCGCCACTCTTCATTTTAAATAGCTGATGGTAGCCCTGATTGCCCGCGCGTCCCTGGCGTGCTTGGGCGGGATCCCACTGTACCGGGCCATCTCGACTTTGTGCAAAGGCCTTGAAAGCAGGCCAGGACTCCTCTGGTGGCCCTCCCTCTGCACCGCTAACCGATCTGGGACCTCGTCCCCTTCCTGGAGGGCAGTCACTCGTGGCAGAGCCCAAGCCTGGCCCGGCCGGCCTTTTGGTTCAGTCACCCAGCAAATGTGCAGTCGGACAACGCCTTCCCCGCCCTTGGCCAACTCTTTGCTGAACGCTGCAGGGAAGCAAGTTTTGATAAAATCCGGGCCTGGGTGGACATCTCAGCTTTCTGAGACAGAGGGACAGCGACCACCTAGAGAAGGGCAGGCTCGCCTTGGCGCTTCTTTCTTGTAGGGAGAGGTGGGCGGGGCAGGCTGTACCTCTTGGCTTGCCAGAGTCTGTCTGAGACTTTTGGAAAACCTCCCAGTTCCAAGTTGGGGTTGTTTGTGTCCTCTCTGTCCCCATGCTAGAGAGAGGAAGCTGCCGCTTCCAGGAAGGCTATCACTGGGCAGAGGTGCCATAGGCTAGAGCCTCAGGAGGATGTGGCCGCCCGGGTTAGCATGAGAAACAGACCCAAATAGTGGAGCCTGGCCAACTGGAGACTAGGTTAGACCTTTGCCTCTGCTGGACTGTGCCCAGCTTTGTGTCAATCCTTCCCAGCCTGCTGGTGTTAGAAATCTCTAGAGGCCTAGAGAGCCCTAAATCTCCCTGTTTGGCCATCACTATGATGGCCTCTGCCTTGATTTCCCCACACTGCCCCTTGTCCTGTCTTTAGGTTGCAACTTACAAGGTTCACCCACCAGGGCAAAGTGCCTGGGCCAAAGGTGCTTGCAGGAGGGGAGTGGATGGGAGGGACTGGCCTTAGGGTTGGGAGTCTTGTGACCTTTGACCCTAGAGGAAACATCAGGAATTCGTGGGTGGAAGGCTTTATGGATAACCCTGTATTCCGTTCCTTCAGGCTAGACAGGTAGGAGGAACTGAGGTTGGGGTGAATTCAGGTCAAGGCCCATTTTACGGGGGCGAATGACCCTTTCATGGGGGTGGCCTAAGACCATTGGAAAACACAGATATTTACATTACAATTTATAACAGTAGCAATGAAAATAAGTTTATGGTTGAGGTCACCACAACATGAGGGACTACATTAAAGGGTTGCAGCATTAGGAAGGTTGTGAAGATAGTGCCAGACACAGAAGACCCTCTGTGATGGCGGTCCTCAAGGACAGGCCACTTGTCCTCAGCCCTGCCTGCCTTCTCCCTCCCCTAGGAAACACACCGCCTGTACCGCCTGAAGTTAGAGGAGCTGACCAAACTCCAGGACAACTGTACGAACTCCATCACTCGCCAGAAGAAAAGGCTCCAGGAGCTGGCCTTGGTGCTGAAAAAGTGAGGGGGTGACTTCCCGCTGGGGGTGGGCGCTGCTGAATGGGGTGGGGGCGCTGGCTTACCCTGCATGGCTCTTCTACTCTTCCACTCCCTGGGCTCTGTTCCTTTCTCTGTCCCAAAGGGTCCCCACTGGGGCTCCTGCAGGACTCGGGCTCCCCCACCTGCACTGACTGACTCCCGCCATACTCCCAGATGCAGACCCTCTCTCCCATCCGAGTCTGCGGAGGCCGCACAGGACCTGGAAAACCAGATGAAGGAGCGCCAAGGCCTCTTCTTTGACATGGAAGCCTATTTGCCTAAGAAGAACGGGTGAGCCCTTCCTCCTTCCAGCTCCGGGGACGCGAAAGCCCTAGCCACTCTATCTGTCATTCAGTCAGCAAAGGGGTCCATGTTGACGGCCCGGCTGTCCGACAGCTCACCATCATGGGAGCCCCAAGGGGAGGGTTAGGGAATTGGTGTCTCAGTGATGGACATCTACCCGACACATGGCCAGACACAGTGTCCGGTGCAGGGATGCCTGAGTCATCTTCAGAGGCAATGAGCTAGCGCAGGAGGCTGGAGGCTGGAGAGTCCAAGGTCCTCTTTGACTACATAGTGAATTCAAAGTCAGCCTGATCAACATGGTGTGCTTCAGCCCAGCCACGGCTGTGGAGTGAGACCCTCCCTCAAAACTAGACCAAAGGGGCTGGAGAGATGGCCTAATGGTTAAGAGCACTGGTGACCAGGGTTTGATTCCCAGAACTTACATGGTAGCTTACAACTGTCTGCAACTTCAGTTCCAGGGGATCCAACACCACCTTCTGGCCTCTGTGGGCACCAGGCACACACATGGTGCACATACAAACATGCAGGCAAACACCCGTACACGTAAAAATAAAATCAAAGCCAAGCCAAGGGCTGGGGATGTAGCTGACTTGGTAGAGTACTTGCAAAACATGATTGATGCCCTGGGCAGTGAGGCTGGGTCAGCGTTGGGCAATGAGTCTGTGTCCTGGCTAGTTCTTAATGTCAACTTGATACAGCCAGAGTCATCTGAGAGGACGGAGTCTTAACTGAGAAGACGCCTCCACAAGATCAGGCTGTAAGCAAGCCTGGAGGGCATTTCCTTCCTTCCTTCCTTCCTTCCTTCCTTCCTTCCTTCCTTCCTTCCTCCCTCCCTCCCTCCCTCCCTCCCTTCCTCCCTCCCTTCTTTCCTTCCTCCCTCCCTCCTTCCTTCCTCCCTCCCTCCCTCCTTCCTTCCTCCCTTCCTCCCCTCTTTCCCTCCCTCCCTCCCTTCCTCCCTCCCTCCTTCCTCCCTCCCTCCCCTCCCTCCTTCCTTCCTTCCTTCCTTCCTTCCTTCCTCCCTCCCTCCCTCCCTCCCTCCCTTCCTCCCTCCCTTCTTTCCTTCCTCCCTCCCTCCTTCCTTCCTCCCTTCCTCCTTCCTTCCTCCCTTCCTCCCCTCTTTCCCTCCCTCCCTCCCTTCCTCCCTCCCTCCTTCCTCCCTCCCTCCCCTCCCTCCTTCCTTCCTTCCTTCCTTCCTCCCTCCCTCCCTCCTTCCTTCCTCCCTTCCTCCCCTCCTTTCCTCCCTCCCTTCCTTCCTCCCTCCCTCCTTCCTTCCTTCCTCCCTCCCCTCCCTCCTTCCTTCCTTCCTTCCTCCCTCCCTCCCTCCCTCCTTCCTTCCTCCCTTCCTCCCCTCCTTCCCTCCCTCCCTTCCTTCCTTCCTCCCTCCCTCCCCTCTTTCCTTCCTTCCTTTTTGTTTTTTGAATCAGGGTTTCTCTGTGTAGTCTTGGCTGTCCTGGAACTCACTTTGTAGACAAGGCTGGCCTTTAACTCCAAGATCTACCTGCCTCTGCCTCCCTAATGCCGGGATCAAAGGTGGGCACCACCACGCCCAACTCTAAAGTAGGGCATTTCTTAATTAATGATTGATGGTGAAGGGCCCAGCCCATTGTGGGTGGCGCCATCCCTGCGCTGGTGGTCCCGAGTTCTATAAGAAAGCAGCTGAGGAAGCCATGGGGAACAAGCCAGTGAGCAGCTCCCTCCATGGCCTCTGCATCGGCTCCTGCCCCCAGGCTCCATATGGTTTGCGTTCCTGCCTTGACTTCCCTCCGTGGACTGTGAGTCAGGGTTTGTAAGCCAAGTAAACCCTTTCCTCCTCAAGCTGTGTTTGCTCATGGTGCTTCACCCCAGCAATAGTCACGCCCACTTAAGATGAGGATGTGGGGTGCTGCTGTGGCAGACCTGAGCATGCTGCTTGGGGGAGACTGTGGAACTTTGGGCTGGAAAGCTGTCGAGTGTGGAGAGCTCAGCGGGCTGTTCTGTCGGAGCTGGGAAGACACCGCTGAGCAGTAGGACGATGGAGGCCTGGCTTGTGAAGGTCAGGTGAGGGTCAAAGACTGTTGTGGGGGCAGGCGGGATGGCTCAGTGGTCAAAGGCCCTGGCTACTCTTTCAGAGGGCCTGGGTTCAATTCCCAGCAACCACATGGCAGTGGTGTCCATATCTCACTCTGTAGACCAGGCTGGCCTTGAACTCACAGAGATCCTCCTGCCTCTGCCTTCTGAGTGCTGAGATTAAAGTCGTGCGCCACCACTTTCCGGCCAGACTTTGTAAGTTTTAAAGAGACTGCACTTTTGAAGTGTTAATTTGTAAATTCTGTACTAATTTTAAGTTGGTAATTTTGTTTTATATTGTGATGTTTATTAATATGAGATCCTGGGGATGAGCAAGAAAGGAAAGGTTAGTTTTAAGTTGATAAGGAGTCGGTTGTCCAGCTAGTTTTTATGTCAACTTGACACAGCTAGAGTCATCTGAGGGGAGGGAACCTTAACTGAGAAAAAACGCCTCCTTAAGATCCGGGCGTTGGTGGCGCACACCTTTAATCCCAGCACTCAGAGGCAGATGCAGGCGGATCTGTGTGAGTTCGAGGCCAGCCTGGTCTACAAGAGCTAGTTCCAGGACAGGCTCCAAAGCTACAGAGAAGCCCTGTCTCGAAAAACAAAAAACAAAACAAAAAAAAGATCAAGCTGTAAGCAAGCCTGTAGGGCCGTTTTCTTGACTAGTAGTTGCTGTGGGTAGGCCCAGCCCATTGTGGGTGGTCCTGAAGTCTGTAAGCAGTTGAGCAAGCTGTAGTCCTTGTGTATCAGTCCCTCCTCCAGGGTCCTGCCCTGTGTGAGTTCCCGCCTTTGCTTCCTTCCGGGGATGGCAGTCCAGGACTTGTGAGCCAAAGAAACTCTTTCCTCCCCAAGTCGCTTTTGACCACGCAGTTTGGTCACAGCAGTAGTAATCCTAACAGCTGGGAAGCCGCTCCCTTGTAGCCTCAGGCGTCTCTGCCATGCTGAGGCCGGAGCGGGCCGGCTGCCAGTCTGCTGGGTGCGCCTGCTTAGTGCGTGACACAGCGCTGCTGTCACACCTGGAGTTCTCCAGGAACACGCGGGCTTCATTAGTGGGAGGGGCAGAGCTACAAGGAGCCTGGTTTTGTTTGTTGGTTTTGGTGGTATATTTTCGAGACAGGGTCTCTTGAAGCCCAGGCTAGCCTTAACTTCTGGTCTTCTGCCCCCACCTCCAAAGAACTGGGGTTACAGGTGTGAGCTTTTATGTGGTGCCGGTGATTGAACCCAGGACCTCGTGGGTGTTAGGCAAGCACTCTGCTAGCTGAGCCATCTCCTCCACGGAGTTTTGAAGGGAGGCGCTTGAGATGGGAGTGAAGTCGGGGTGTGGCTGTGTATGGGAAGCTATGGAGGGGGTGCAGTGAGCTTCTTGGATGACCATCTGCTCTCAAGGTACCCACACAGGGAGGTCCTAGACAAAACGCCACAGACTGGAGACACTGTTACCCTAAGGACGGGATTCTGGAGCAGGCGGGGGCGAGGTGGGTGGTTGGTTAGTGGATTCTGGAGCAGGCAGGGGGAGAGGTGGGTACCATGTGTGGTTGGTTAGTGGTGCCTCTTAAACTTGGAGTATACCAAGTCCACGGGGAAGGCGACAGGCTCTAGGCTGTAGTGTTTGTCTCTGTCACTCAGGTCATCTTCTGTCCCTTAGGTTGTACCTGAGTCTGGTTCTGGGGAATGTCAACGTGACACTTCTGAGCAAGCAGGCCAAGTATGTGGCGGTGGTAGTCGGGGTTGGGTCTCCATTCTTCCCCATCCACCTTTGACTTGGTTGGTGTGGCCTTGGGGTTCTGGGTCAACTTCTCCAGGCTGGCCTGGGACCTCTGGGCATGGTGGGGAAGGCAGGCCCCCACCCAGCCTGCCCACCCGTGAGTGGGAATGGCTGCTGTTGCCCCGCCCAGGTTTGCTTACAAAGACGAGTATGAGAAGTTCAAGCTCTACCTCACCATCATCCTCATTGTCATCTCCTTCTCTTGCCGCTTCCTGTTCAACTCCAGGTGAGCGTCTTGGTCTGGGGGGACAGGGTCAGGGATAAGACTCTAGCCTCATTTCTTTGTACCCCACTCCCCAGGGTGACGGACGCTGCCTTCAACTTCCTGCTGGTCTGGTATTACTGCACACTGACCATCCGAGAGAGCATCCTCATCAATAATGGTTCCAGGTGTGCGTGTGCAGTGGGGTGGCAGCGTGAGTCCTGAGGGCAAGTGTGGAGATACCTTGTTTGCATTCCAACAGATAAAGCTTGCCTGAAGAGCAGAGCAGCCACTGGAGCTGACCTCTACAACATCTCAGACTGAAAAGAGACTGAGTTCCTGTCTCTTCCCACCCCTGTTCCCCTGCCCAGCCATCTCACTTCCTGTCTGTCTGTACAGACCTCCAGGCCTCTATGGTTAGCTAGTGGCTAGCTCCGCCCACCTGATCTTCAGGCAAGCTTTATTTATGTAAACAGGTTATCACCACAGGGTGGGTCATGCACAGGGCCCTTGGGTCTGTGGGAGCTGCCCTGATTCACAGGGATGACCAGCACCCTCTCTACAGGATCAAAGGCTGGTGGGTTTTCCATCATTACGTGTCCACGTTCCTGTCAGGAGTCATGCTGACCTGGTGAGTGACGGAGACAGACCTCAGTTGGCAGGGGAGCGGGGCGTGGCCCAAGACCCGGCTCTCACACCTCCCTCCTTTCTCCTGCTTCCCCCTAAATTTAGGCCAGATGGTCTCATGTACCAGAAGTTCCGGAACCAGTTTCTGTCTTTCTCCATGTACCAGAGTGAGTTTCCTTGCTTGGGAGGGGACGGGGGAAGAAGGCCTGTGGCCCAAAGCGGGCTCTGACATGCCCACCTGCCCGGCCACCCAGGCTTTGTGCAGTTTCTGCAGTATTACTATCAGAGCGGGTGCCTGTACCGCCTGCGCGCCCTGGGCGAACGACACACTATGGACCTCACCGTGGGTGAGTCGGGTGGCCGAGGCCCCAGGCGGGCAGGGGTGGGGGCTTCCTTAGTGAAGGTTTCCTGTCCCTTCCGGCCTGCTCACCACCTCAGGTTTTCCCACCCCACAGAGGGCTTCCAGTCTTGGATGTGGAGAGGGCTCACCTTCCTGCTTCCTTTCCTCTTCTTTGGACATGTAAGTCACCCCTGGGTGTCCCCGTGACTGAGCGCCAGGGAGCACTCACTGAGCAGACCCCTCCGTTACAGTTCTGGCAGCTCTTTAATGCACTGACCTTGTTCAACTTGGCCCGGGACCCTGAGTGCAAGGAGTGGCAGGTGAGCCAGGGTCTGGGAGGGCAGGGGACCCCTCTAGGCCTCGCCTGTCCTGACCCCGCTTTCCCGACCCCTCAGGTGCTCATGTGCGGCTTCCCCTTCCTTCTCCTCTTCCTCGGCAACTTTTTCACGACGCTCCGAGTGGTACACCAGAAGTTCCACAGCCAGCAGCATGGGAGCAAGAAGGATTAAGCTAGACGTGATGGCCAGCCCCAAAGGGGCTTTGACCTGTGTGCCAGCTGGGGTGGCAGGGTGGGGCACCCCTGTGTGTATGGGGGTTCCCTTCTGTGCCCCCTGGGCTTTGTGGGCTCTGTGGGCCCTGAGGAAGGCCTGGGCCTGGAGCCCAGCTTGCAGGATTTGGGCTCTGGGCCTCAATAAAGGAAGAGAGGCATGGAGGTGTCTGATGGATTGTGGGTGTATCCTCCCAGGGGAGGCAGGGCTTGTGGGTCCCCAACACAGCACTGATTCTTGGCTCCTGGTCTGGGAAAGAGGGTCCCCAAGCAGGTCCCAAGATAGATCCCATATCGGCTCCAACAACACCAGGCAAATACAGAAAACAACTTTATTCCAAGGGCCCGGTTATTTAAAATTATTTACACTCATTCAAAAATCACTGGTGGGGCTGCACCTCAGCTCTGGAGAGAAAAGCCCCTCTGTACAGCTGCCGAGGGCCTAAGGCACCCATCACCAGAGGTGGCTGGCTCCTCTCGCCATGTGCCCTGGGACTGGGCCGCCTGCCTGGTACAGTGGGTTGGGCTCAGCCGAGCGGCCCAGAAGGGTGTCAGTCAGGCCAGGAGTCGGTCCCTTGGCCTCCCTGTGTCGAGGCCACGCAAGGGACCACCAGAGGTGGAGGTCGGCAGAAGGGAGTTAGGGAAGTGATTACGGGGAGCAAGGTGGGCGGGTGGCAGCTCCTAGCTCCACACGTCCAGGGAGTAGCGACCCTTGGTCATCAGCTTCTTAACATAGTCCACAGCCTGGGCGTGCTCCATGGGCCCAAACTCGGCCACGATGTCGTAGAAGGTGTTCTGCACGTCTTTGGCCATGTTTCGAGCATCCCTGGGTGGAGACAAGATGTGAGGGACTCTGGAGCCACCTGTGGGTGGGTGGTCAGCACCCCATGCCTCCCGGCCCTCTACTCACCCGCAGACGTAGATGTGGGCCCCGCCCTCGTGGATGAGCTTCCACAGGTGCTCTCTGTCTCTCTTCAGCAGGTGCTGGACATAGACCTAGGGGAGGGGTGAGGTGGGCTGTAAGCCGCGTCCAGACCCCGCAGCACCGCCCCTTCATGGGGCAGCCGGGCCGCCCGCCTCACCTTGTGGGCCTGCTCCCTGGAAAAGGCCACATTAAGCTGGGTGAGGGCCCCGTCCTTGTGAAAGCGGGCCAGCTCTTCGCGGTATAGGTAGTCCTCATCCGAGCGCCGGCAGCCATAGTATAGCAGTGTCTCTCCAACCTCCTTGCCTGGGCAGGGACGACGCTATGGTGAAGGGGAGCTCTCTGGCCAGGCTCTGACCATCACAAAACCTCAGCCCCATGGCTTACCTTGCTCCCGAAGCCAGGCTCGCTCCTGGATGAAGCCCATGAAGGGGGCGATCCCTGTGCCAGGACCCACCATGATGACAGGTGTGACGGACTTGAAAGGGAGGCGGAACTGAGATTTGCGCACGAACATGGGCACCAGGGCCCGGCGGCCGTTCTCTCCTGCTGGCTCCTTGGCCCGAAGCCAGCTGGTGGCCACGCCCTTGTTCACTCGTCCAGACTTGGCCTCATACTCCACAGCCACAGCGCAGATGTGCACCGAGTTGGGGTGGACCTGAAGGAAGGACTGGTGTGAGCGTGGGAGCCCCTCTCCAGCCGCTCTCCTGGCTGGGTGTCCAGAGTCCACTGCCCCAGGCGGCGCCTCCCGGCCGAGCTGGTGCCCTCCCTTCACCTTAGAGGAGGAGGCGATGGAGTAGTAGCGGGCCTGCAGCCGAGGTAGCAGCTCACACAGGTGGTCGATGGGTGGCCGCAGTGAGGGGTAGTCTTGGAGAATGGCTAAGATGTGCCTCCGGGCCTCCACCACCCAGCTCAGGTACAGCTCCTGGGGGGACGGAAGAAGGGATGGGCAGCCTGGGCGTGTGCGTTGGGGAGGATGTGGAGGCAGAGGTGTGCAGGCTCACCTTGCCCTCGCCTGAGGATGACGCCATCTTGTGCAGCTGCTCCTGCTCAGAGGGCTCTGAGGCATACTGCGCCAGCTCGTAGAGCACGTTGGTACGCGGCGGGTTGGTGATGTCCAGGTAGTAGGTGAGGGCCGTGCGGTAGGTGGTGGGGCAGGGGAACGGGTGCTTCTTGTTGGACTCCTCTGCAGCAGAGAAGGACTGCGTGAACGGTCACCCTGGGGCAGAGCGGGGCCTCACAGAGGACAGAAGCCCTGCAGGCCTTTGTAGCAGACAGCTGACACTCCAGCCTGCTCTCTATTGTGTCCTCGACTCTGGCAAGGCTCATGCTTTCTGCTTGAACTTCAGGCCCCGCAGAGGGATCTAGCCGTGGTAGGCAGCCAGGCCTTCGAGGAAGGGGTATGTGTGTGTGTGTGTGTGTGTGTGTCCGTGTGCTCTACTGCAAGTCACTAAGGGCAGAACCAGGACACGGGTGAAGGAACCTAGCAGGCACTGAGGGCTGCTAACCCAGTCCTCACATTTACCAGTGAGGATGGAGGCCCAGGAGTAGGGAGGCAGCAGCCCATAGCCACAGAGGTAGTTGTGGAGCCCAGGCCTAAGACATAGGCCTGCTTTAGCAGCCCCGGTCCAGGAGGCTGTGTGGCTGGGTGCAGCGGGGCTGGTTCTGCCTCCTGCCTCAGGTGCCCTTTATAACTCTGACAGGGATGGAGGGCCAGACCTCATTACATAGTCTTAGGACTTTAGCACCCGGGCCACAGGCCAGAGCCAGAAGCTCAACCTTCAGACCTAGACAAGCTTGGCCCCTGGTTCCAGAACTCACCATCGAGATTGTTTAGAGACATGACGACATCCAAGTCAGCCCCTAGGATCTCCCCGATCTGGTTGACCAGGGTGGAGTCATTGGCCGGGTACACAGCCACATGATCCCCAGATTCATACCTGGAGTGGAAACGCAAGGCTCAGGAGGGAGCGAGCGAGCGGTGCCTCAGGGCCAGGTCAGCCCCAGGGAGGCGGAGGCCGCAGGTACCTGATCTTCGAGTCTGAGATGTCCAATTCCAAGTGCATCAGGTGCCGCTCAGTGCCCTGGTTCAGTTTCCGGTTAGTGGTGACAGCAGCCAGGAATGGGTTCTTGGCATCAAAGGGGCTGGCAGGAAGAAAGGTCATGATTGGCTTGGGACCTGCTTCCACTAAACACTGGGAGCAAGAGCTGGTGGGGGCAGGGGGCTTCGAGCCTTCAAGGGCCATGAGGGAGCCCATTTAGTATGGCAAGGGCTGTCCCAGCCCCGTAAGTAAATCAAGTGGGCAGAGCAAAGGGACACAGACAGGAAAACAAGCTGGCCCCTAAGACCCTCTGCATTCTGCCCGTGGGGGGCCTGAGCCAGGGGGTGGAGCCACTGTGGAAGCTACCTAGTCCTGAGATACTTGCACAGACTTGGCTTTCACACTCACATTCAGAGACTGTAGTGTGTCTAGGAGGCAGATGAAAGAGTCTGCCCCAGCAGGATGGCGACTGGGGAGGTTCCAGCGGGAATAACCTGGGTGGTACCCAGGGGTATGCAGGGTCAAAGTGAGAACAGGATTTGGACTTTTTGTGGACAGGTTTTCATGTATCCCGGCCTTGGAACCCACTATGCAGTTGAGGACAACTGGACTCTTGACCCTCCCTCCTCCACCTTGTGCTGAGCTTGAGAGAGTGCTGCGGATGGGCCCCGGGGCCTCACACCTGCTAGGTAAGCACTCCACCAGTTAAGCTGCATGCCAATGGCCGTGGAGTCCAAGGAAAGGAAAGGGGCTTCTTGCCCAGGTTTGCCCTGCCAGGGCTGGGCTCCTGAGGCCTCAGTGGGGAGTACTCCTGTCCTCCTGTCCTCTGGGCAGCCTGTGCCCTTCCAGTTAGTGGAAAGAGGGGTGTGGGTGTCCCCAGTGTGCTCGCTCAGATGACTCTGGAGGGACATACGAGGGCCCAGGCTTCCAGCCCCGTTCCCTTCCTGCTTACGGTTTCTGGTTCTCATAGCTCTTCAGGCGGCCCATCTCGCCGGTGTAAACCTTGGCAGCATCAATGTCTTCGTGGACCAAGAGCTCATACTGACGAATGCTGGAGGGGAAAACCAAGACTGGGGTCAGGGCCAGGAGGGAGGCTGCAGGGCCAGCCACAGCAAGAAAGGGCTTCAACTACACAGCGGACATGAGTGGAAGACACAGGACAGAGGGCCACGGGGCTACAGACACAATAGAGACGACGGAGAGGTAAAGGCGAGAGGGGGGCTGCAGCTGCCCCGCGAGCCCGAGGGACCAGCAGAAGCCAGATGGAAGGACAGCCAGTGCCATGTGATGCCACAGGACCACACCCCTCCCCTTCAGGGAGCCCCTTCATCTAGAACGAGGACCCCCAGATCCTGTGCCTGAGCTCTTGACCTCCTTCCTCACTCTGTCCCCAGGGCCACCCAGCCCAGGCCCCGGCCTCGGCCTTCCACTTACCTGGACTCCTCCCCAGTGGCTTCCACCCCGAAGAACTCGCACACGGCTGGCCAGAACTGCTCCCTCCATGTGATGAAATCCTCTTCCAAGCTGGGGAGAGGAGAGGCTCAGTCAGCTAGACATCAGCCCGCCGTCACCCTGTGGCTCCCAGCTCTGCTAGGGGAAGGAGGGTGGCCAACACTCCAGGCTGGACCTGTGACACTAGGGTGACACTTACTTCCCATCGTCATCACCAAGGCCCAACTCAAAGATGCGCTGGGCGCCGAGCTGCTCCAGTCGCTGGTCCACATACTTGCCCATGGCATTGAAATGCTCATAGGTCTTGTTCCCAAGGCCGAACACCTGTGGGGACGGCAGGGGAGGCTCTGAGGCTCTGCCCAGTGGGATCTGGTGTCCTTGGGGTGGGCTGAAGTCTGCACTGGGAGCCTCTGGCACCATGCGCACTGAGAAGAATGCCTGAAGGCCTTATTTAGGTGACCTGCGGTCCACAGGTAGCTCCTTTTATGACCAGCCTTTTTACACCTCCAATCCAAGTGACCAGCTTAGCTGGAGGCTCCAGTCCTCCTTGCTTGGCCAAATTATATTGTTTTAGCCTTTTGTCCAATACCATATGTCCTGAGGGGTCAGCGGGCAATGTGGGAGGAGGCGCTCTAGAAGGGCAAACCCTCACTGAAGTAAGGATGAGGTCCTTGCTGGAGGCCCCGCCCGGCAGACGGTGAAGGGACAGGAGCATCCTAGGATTCTGGGGAGCTGCCAGAGGCCA